GCTCAAGGACTATATCTCATTTGGCCAAAATCCAATGTTGGGTGCATCTACTACTTTTGGTGTGGTGCGCATGGCCGATCAGCAGCTGGTAGCCGAAAGCATGATTGGGGTAGATCTTGATCTAGATGATAAGATCCAGAAGACAATGATGTTCGTGTCCCAACCTATGTTGGGTTGTTGAATCTTCAACTTTGCATCCGACATTCTTTCATTTTTTTTTCCTTCTAATAATGACTAGGAAACGAACCTCGGATAAGATATGGATCTCGGTCGGAGCTGGAATTGAACTTGCGGACTTGAGGGCAATGCAAAGCAAGAGAGACAAGAGAGAGACAAGAGAGAGAGAGAGGGGAATTGTTTGAGATTGAGATGAGATGAGAAGATTGGTCTCCTTTTTCCACCTTTTTCTTTGCCTTCCCATCCCCATTTTATCCCTTCGCATAATTGATTTGACAAAAAGTTTTAAATCACTTTCCAATAGTGAATTCTTTTCCTTTTCCTCCTCCTTTTATAAATTCCAAAGTTTCGAATGTCCAATCGGCGAGCAATTCAACCAGACGCGTGACAAACTCTTGCTCCGCGTACACGAAATGATCATAAGAGCATTCAAATTCATGCTTTCGAGATGGCCTTAAGAAAATCGATAAAAATAAAAATGGGGTTGGTTATTTCCAAATTATCTGCTCTGAAAGGTGGATTTTGGGCTCATTGCGATCGAACTTTGAGGGACTATTCTCCAATTCAAATTATGAATCTGCTGTATTATTTACACTAGTGTCCAACTAACGAGCGATCTAACCAAACTAGACTTCTTATTCGGTGTACACTAGATATTCACGGGAGCATTATAATGTACCCTTTCGAGATGGCTCTAAGAAAATGCGAAAAGATGGAATGCTTCTAAATTAGCTCCTCTTGTGGTGGATTTTTGCGAAAAGTGACGTGTTGATATATTGTCTTATTTCATATCGACATGTCCCTTTTCATGTATAAAATGTTGAAGATCATGGTGCGAGGTGGGGGCCTAAAGCATGCACTCTAGAGGCAATTTACACGAGTTTTGAGTGTTAGCCACGTGGGCATGTTTTAGGAATGTTTTGGAAATTGAATGGAGGGTTACTATCGTTTAATAGTGACAGTAAATGACGTGATTTTAGTGAGTGAGGTCACGCTCCAACCACTAAGGGTTGGAGTTATGCAATGGAAATTACTACGAGCATTGATCAACATTTGGATTCGAAGTCGCCGACGGCGAGGCCATCGCATAAATTAAACGTGTTAGTTTTACGTTGGGGTTATGGAATGGAAATTACTGTGGGCATTAATCCACATTTGGATCCCTCGTCGCATAGATTAAATGTATTAATTACCTACTTTTTTTTTTTGGTCGGAATATTAATTACTTACTTCACGTTGCGAATTCCGAGGCACAGGAAGAACTCGTGTTTCCTAACCTTAGCAATTGCAACCGTGACATTCAGATTAAAAAAAGCCACTTAAAATAAAAATATATTGATTTGATTAGATTCATGGTGCGTTTGTTACATGGAAAACTCATAATTTGAAGAACATTTAATTTAAAAAAATGATCGTTTGTATCTAGACATGGCCACGGTTTGGAACAGGTGGTTCCGATTCGTGGCCATGTATGAACCGGCGGTTCTGGGCTGGTTCCGATTCCGGCCCAGTTCGGAACCTGCCAGTAAAAATTAAAAAAATAAATTATGAAATAAAAAAATATTGAATTATCAAATTATGAAATATTGAATTATTCAATATAAAATGTAATCAAAATGTACATTGTAATCAAATTTGGGGAAAAAAAGAGAGAAAGAGATGGAACCGGCGATAAAAATAATATATATATATTTTTGGAATCGGAACCGGGCCAGTAGGCCACGGGCCGGTTCCGGTTCTGAACCGCGGGCTTGGTCAACGGGCCAGTCCCGGGTTTGACCCGAGTCGGTTCCTGGCCAAAACCGGCCCGTGGCTATGTCTATTTGTATCGCTTATATAAATGAATGAACAAAAAATATTTTTATCATCCATGAAACCATTTAGGCGAGAATTGTTGTCAACAGTGAAAATATTTTCTATTAACTAATTTTTTTAACAGATATAACCAATTGTTTTTTGAAAAATATTTTTCAAATCATTCGTTTTTTTTTGTGAAGGCAGTTGTTTCACGAAATCGAATGATTTGAGAAATTTTTTTCAAAAATTAATCATTTGCATCACTTATAAAAATAAATGAATGAAAATTACTTTCATCGTTCACGAAATTATTTAGACATTCACGAAAACGAATGATTTGAGAATTTTTTTCAAAAAATAATCGTTTGCATCACTTATAAAAATAAATGAATGAAAATTACTTTCATCATTCACGAAATTGTCTAGACATAAATTCTTGTCGATAATGAAACCATTTTTTATTAGATAATTACTTCAAGTAATACAAAAGATCATTTTTTTTAAATATTTTTCAAATTATTCATTTTTGACGAAATAAACGGAGCCTTAAATTGATTTGGATTCTTAATTTTGATGTTTGTTATTCACCCATAGTTTTTGATATTTGTTATTCACCCATAGTTTTGGCATCACATATTTTCTAGATTGCTTAGTGCTTGTATCGCTTACAAAATTAGTTTAGAACTAGATTTATGTCAATTTCCTGTTCGACTATTTTCCAACTTCCATCTTTTGTTGTAACTCTCATGTTGGGTCGTACGAAACTGAGCCCAACTCCACATTCTCCAACGTCAATTTTGGTAAAATACAAGTCCAGTCCAATCATCCGGAGGACCAGAAATATGCCAAGAAGGCCGTAGCTAAAGAATTGAATTCACCAGAAGTCCCCACATGAGCAGAAACCATCCTGAAAATGATGAAACCGCTTCCTATCTCGCACGGTAATCGGGCGCTCGTATACCTTCGAAATCAGCTTCATTGCGGCGTGGCAATCCTCGCATATCCGTAGGTTCTTGGCAATCCGAAGCGGGGTCTTCGGGTGGGTGCTGATGAGCCCGAAAGCTACGGCGATCTTCTCGCTGTGATAGTGCAATGCACTCTCCTTTTCTTCTTCATCGACATTGAGCAGGACTTGAGTGGTGTTGGGGCTATAGCCTAATGATCTCAACTTGCTGGCGATTTCCTCCAACATCGAATGAATCTCTTCGGCTCTCGGGTGAGCCTCGTCTTCCACTAGGAATTCGTAAATTGTTCCGTCAAGCTCGATCCAACTGCACCCGGGGTCCTTCCTAATATCCATCTCCTTCATCTTCAATCTAATGTCCGAAACTCCCTCCCAGTTTCCTTGAGACGCAAACATGTTGGAGAGAGCCACGTAAGATCCACTGTCATTAGGAGATAACTTCATTAGCCGTTGTGCTATTCGTTCACCCATCTCAATGTTTCCGTGCATCTTACAAGCACCTAGCAGGGCTTTTAGTATCACATCATCCGGTTCCATGGGCATGTTCTGTAGAAGCTCCTCAGCCTCATCCAACAGTGCGGCACGTCCGAACATATCAACCATGCAACCATAGTGCTCGATCCTGGGCTCCAGTCCGACTACATTAATCATATCGTTGAAGAATGATCTACCCTCCTCAAGTAAACCTGCATGGCTACAAGCTGTTAATACAGCAATGTAGGCAACATCGCTTGGTGTTACTCCGGATCGCTCCATTCTTGAAAAGTAATCAAGAGCATCCTTTGCTCTGCCATGCATAGCAAGCCCTCCAATAATGGCATTCCAAGTTTTTGCACTCTCTTTTGGTAGCGCCTCGAAAACTTGAAGTGCCTTCTCAATACTCCCACACTTTGAGTACATATCGAGCAAAGCAGAACCAAGAATATCATCAATCTCAATCCCATTCTTCTCTGCATATAAATGGACCCATTTCCCCAACTCAAGCGCCCCCAAGCGCGAAATTGCCGGAAGAACACTAACTAATGTCACATAATTTGCAGAAACATTCCCCATCTGTATCTCACGGAACGTCTCAACGGCCTCCATAAAAAGCCCATGTTGTGCATACCCGGATATCATCACATTCCACGACACAACACTTCTCTGAGGCATTTTATCGAACAGCTCCCGAGCAGCTCTAAGATCCCCCATTCTAACATACCCATCAACCATCACATTCCACAAAACCACGTCCCCCTCTTGCCTCCTGAGATTCATCTCCTTCCCCACCCCATCACTCCGAACAATTCTCTCATCAAACAAAACGTAAGCATCCTCCATGACACCGCAGAGCACGTACATTCTGACAAGGTTACTAAGAACAAACTCGTCACCATCCAAACCACACTTAGCAACCATCCCATGAACCTGCCTCCCTTCCTTCACCCTCCCCAACCTCGCACAAGCCTTCAACACCGGAGGGAACGTGAACCCGTTGGGCTCCACGTGGCCACCCCGGACCATCTCGCGGAACAGGGCTAGAGCTTCCAACTGCGTGGCGTCGTCGTCGCTCTCGGCAAGAGCCCTGATGATGGAGTTCCAAGAAAAGCAATTGGGCCGGCGCATCTGGTCGAAGACCGCGCGCGCGTACCGGAGGTCGCGGCGGCGGGCCGAGAGCGCGCAGAAGCGGAGGATCTCGGCGGCGGCCAGGGGGTCCCGGACGTCGCCGGTCTTGATCATGTGGGCGTGGACCTGCTTGAGGTCGGCCATGGACCTGCATCTCGCGATCTGCGGGAAGAGGGCAGAGGGGTGAGGCGGCGGCGGCGGCGATCCGGCGGTGGCTGCGCACACCGTCGAGTTCATGAGGCGGGCGAGCTCGCAGTTGCGTCGAGACGTTCTCTTCCCGCGCTTTTCATCCCCGCGCCATGGGCCCGATGGGCTTGGGCCTGGGCCCATAGGGCCCCGTAAGCTCGGCCCGAAGCGGAGCGTCAACGGATTTTCATTCGACCGGATGAACGGCCACGATCGAATCAGGCTCCCCTCACGCTCGAAAACCCTAGAGATATAAACTCGGTCCCGGAGCTGTCCTTCTCGCTTTCGTGTTCGGCCATAACCAGAGCTCTCGAAGCTACGCCTGCCGTCGCATCTCGCTCATCCGTTCGTGCCCCAGCAAAGCTCTGTCGGAGCGAAGATGAAGGTTGTCGCCGCGTACCTGCTGGCTGTTCTGGGAGGCAACACGTGCCCCTCCGCCGATGATTTGAAGGACATCCTAGGATCGGGTCCTCTCTTTCTCTCTGTCTCTCGATTTAGTCCATGTTTCGCTCATTTGACGACGACGCTAGCTGGAGTCAAGGTTTAGTAGTCTTAAGTTTTCTTGCATCGATTAATTTAGGAACCGAAGTTAGCGAACGCATGTTAAAGTTTGAATCTTTCTGCATGTATATTTGTATCTTTACCTATTCATTGTGGAAGTTAATGAAGAGGAGGTTGCGATTGCTTGATGCGTATCTGGTGACGGATTTTAGCACTGGGTGCTCGGGATTTGCTGTCGTAGTGGGTTTTTAATGCTCTTCAAGAGGCTCCGGTGACCAGCTTGTTCATTTTTGGCCGTGGTGATAAGATCCTCCGCTATCTGATTGTCGCGTTCATGTGGATCACAGTAATGCCGGGGAGTTGGTAGATTAGTCTGCAGTAGTTTTGCGTAGGCAAAAGATGTTCAATGCTTGATTTGCAGTGTTGCTCGGTGTTTGTTGGACCTGCTCATAGAATCGGTTGCCGGTCATCGCCCTGTAGATTTAGTAGACTTTGGTGTATCAGGAACAAAATAGAAATTTCAGACTGTAAAGGGTGCGTTTGTTTCGCGGAAAACGGATGATTTGGAATACATTTTCCAAAAAATGATCATCTGAATCATTTACAAAAATGATTGAACGAAAAATATCTTCATCGTTTATGAAATTGTTTAGACGTATATTATTGTCGATAATGGAAATGCTTTTCATTGGCTAATTGTTTCAAGCGATACAAGCGATCATTTTTTTGGAAGATGTTTTCTAAATCATTCATTTTCCGCAAAACAAACGAAGCCTAATTTAGTTTTATGGGATGCGGGAATCTTCGGTGTACAATGTTGTTTCTAAGATCTTTCCAGATTTGTGGCCCTTTTGGGGGAGCAACATTTGCTGTTGTACTGAAGGATTGCCTTGTGAATTTTTGACAGTTGGAGCTGAGGCTGATGACGATAGGATAGAGTTGCTCTTGTCCGAAGTCAAGGGAAAGGACATCACTGAGCTGATTGCCGCCGGAAGGGAAAAGTTGGCCTCCGTGCCCTCTGGAGGTGGCGGTGGCGGCGTGGCCGTTGCTGCAGCTCCATCAGGCGGCGCTGCTGGCGGTGCTGCCCCAGCTGCCGAGGCAAAGAAGGAGGAGAAAGTCGAGGAGAAGGAAGAGTCTGACGATGTAAGCACTATTGTTCATCTCTCTGGTTCTTTCGGAGTTTGTTTTGTGCAGATGATTTGGTCTTTCGGTTGCCATTTGATTTAACCTAAACTTGGACATTTGCTTTGCTGCAGGATATGGGCTTCAGTCTCTTTGATTAAGAATGCAGATGGCAATTTTTGCTTACAAACGTGTGTGTCGTGGATATAGGCGCAAGCATGCGGTCTCTGTAGTCCATAGTTAGAAGTTCTTGTTTTTCTTTCTTGTTTGCTGCTGGATTCCCTTGAAAGTTTTGTTTGCCCTAATGAGATGTTTTTGGGACATGGGGTTAAATTTTTCCCTGCAATTCGTCCATTTCGGATTCCCTCTTGATTATAATGTACTGCTTATCCAGTTTAGATTCTTATTTCGTGGCGAGGCTCGAGTATCGAAGATGCACTGGTCGTGCGACCTGGGTTTTAGAACCTGTGACCACGCCAGGATCGCTCATCTCAGTCATCCAACACCTTGGGTGCTCTAGTATGAGCTTTTGTATTAGTCTTTGCCGTGGAGTGCTGTGGCTGTTATCTCTGTCTGATAACCAAATGGTCTGTTTACTGAAAGGAGAAGGTGGCTGTTATCTCTGTCTGATTACCGAATGCCCAAACTCGGGATCGGTTGACTGCAGGGGGCGCTGATATGAGGTGGGGTCTTGGGTCCTGGGTCAGGTGGCGAGGATCCTCGGGTTCTCGAGCTTGGCTATCTAAGCACCAGAGACTCGGATCTTGCGTGGATGCGCGAGCCCGAGGCTTCGGGCAGTGTCGGGTCTAGAGTCTAGAGACCCTCGAGCCTGAAGCTTCGGGCAGTCGGGTCTAGACCCTTGAGGTTCCCGGCCTGGGAGCCACCGGTCCCGTGACTAATTTAGTGCGTGAATCCGTATATGCAGTCTAAAATTTGTCCAAGATCGTAGCGACATTGAGGGACAGATTCATAAATGTCAAAAGAAGTTATGTGCAGCGGACGAATTCTATTGCTGCATGTGGTAATGCTTCTCTATTCCCTAATAATTGTAATTAATGAGTTAATCCGCGTTGACTTATTTATGCATAGTGTGACGTGGCGTATGTAGGAGGGATTAGAAACCCAAAAGAAACGCTCCCAACCGGATTAACATGTCCTTAAACACAAAATTAATGCGTAATTAAATTTTTCTCTTTCATTCTGTTCCAATCAAACCACAATCCCCACCTCAGAAAAAAAGTAACATTCGACGAATCCCAGATTTGTTCTTTTTCGTGGAGGATTGATGACCTCTTCATCCTCTGTTCCTTAGCCTTTTTCCTCCGATTTCTGTTGGTAATGTCTCGTAGACATGAAAGACGAGCTCCGTTCCCATCTCTGGTTCCATCTGGTATGCATTTGCCTCGCATCGAGCATCATTCGAATTCTAGGGAAAAGTTCCGGCATCGATTCCGAGTCGTATGTGATTGCGTGCGGATCCTCGAGCCGAGGAACCGATTCGGATGGCCGAGTTTGGTGGCCGGATTCCAAGTTCCTCGCCTCGCCGGCCAATTCGGTGCCCGCCGCCGCCCAATTCCAGGACCCTTCTCTGCCTTCCACGGTCCCATACATGTCTGCCAGAGTGTTCACCGCTCAATCCTCCTACAAATTCTCGGTTCCGTCGAGAACTCGGCTATGGCTCCGGCTCCATTTTTACCCTTCTGCTTATAGCGACCTCGATCCATCCAACGCCTATTTCGCAGTCACCGCGAATGAGTTCGCACTCATGAACAATTTCAGCGCCTCGATCACCGCCCAGGCGCTCACGCAGGCATATATCATCAGAGAGTTCTCGCTCACGCCGGTTGGATCTGGCGACCTCAACATCACTTTCACGCCTTCCACAGCACACGACGGGGCCTACGCATTCGTCAATGGCATCGAGATCATTCGGATGCCCGACATGTTCGAGCAGGCGACGATGGTCGGATTCAGCGATCAGGCCGTCCCCGTGGATGGATCTTCTTTGCAGACGTTGTATAGGCTTAATGTGGGTGGACAATACATTCCGCCAACCAATGATTCCGGCCTCACCAGGACATGGTACGACGACACCCCCTACTTATTCGGCGCCGCAGCTGGCGTCACGTCCGCGGCGGACAAGAATGTGAGAGTTCAATATTCTCCGGATGTTCCGGAATATATTGCGCCGTTAGACGTGTATAGCACGGCGAGGACGATGGGTCCGGATCCTAAGGTTAATCAGAACTATAACCTCACCTGGGTTTTCCAGATCGATGTGAATTTCACCTATATCGTCAGGTTTCATTTCTTGGATTTCCTCCTCGGTAAAGTTAACCAGCGGGTGTTTGATATCTTTGTGAACAACCAGACGGCGCAGGCGTCTGCTGATGTTATCGCGTGGTCCGGTTCGGAGGGAGCACCGGTTTATAAAGATTTCGCGACTTACGTTAGCAACGGCGCCGGCGACGAGCAGCTGTGGGTGGCTTTGCATCCCAGCGTTTCGATGAAACCCGAGTACTATGATGCGATCCTCAATGGACTTGAAATCTTCAAGATGAATGATAGCAACGGGAATTTGGCCGGTCCTAACCCAGTTCCGTCGCAAATGCTTGTCCATGCCGAGGCCGAGGCGGCCAAGAAATTCGCTCCTTCGGGTCCTTCGAGCACCGGCCAAGTGATTGGCGGGATCGCCGGAGGGGTTTTAGGATTCGCTATAGTTGTTTCGGTATGCCTTTTCGTGCGGCACCGGAGGAACGAGGCCAACGGAACGGAATCTAGGGTCGGTAAATGGTTACCGCTCTATGGAAGTTCACGTGCGTCGACGACGACGACAACGAGCAAATCGACAATTTCCGGCAAGAGCAGCGGCACCAGCAGCCACCTCTCGTCGCTCGCGGGAGGCCTGTGCCGACACTTTTCGCTGTTCGAGATCAAACACGCTACCAAAAACTTCGACGAGTCGCAGGTCATCGGGGTGGGAGGATTCGGGAAGGTGTACAAGGGCATGATCGACGGAGGGTCGACCGCGGTCGCCATCAAGCGATCGAACCCTTCTTCGGAACAAGGAGTTCACGAGTTCCAGACCGAGATCGAGATGCTCTCCAAGCTGAGGCACAAGCATCTGGTGTCTCTGATCGGGTTCTGCGAAGAAGACGGCGAGATGATCCTGGTATACGATTACATGGCCAACGGCACTCTCAGGGAACACATGTACAAGGGCAACAATCCTCCATTATCATGGAAGCAGAGGTTGGAGATCTGCATCGGCGCCGCCCGCGGGCTGCACTACCTGCACACCGGAGCGAAGTACACGATCATCCACCGCGACGTGAAGACGACCAACATCTTGCTCGACGAGAGGTGGGTGGCGAAAGTCTCCGACTTCGGGCTATCCAAGACGGGGCCGAACCTCAACCAGACGCACGTCAGCACCGTCGTGAAGGGCAGCTTCGGGTACCTGGACCCCGAGTACTTCAGGCGACAGCAGCTCACCGAGAAATCCGACGTCTACTCCTTCGGGGTAGTCCTCTTCGAGGCCCTGTGCGGCCGGCCCGCACTCAACCCGAGCTTGCCCAAGGAGCAAGTCAGCCTCGCCGACTGGGCTCGGCACTGCCACAGGAAGGGGAACCTGGAGCACATCATCGACCCGCACATTAAGGGTCAGGTCAGCTCGGAGTGCTACCGGAAGTTCGCCGAGACGGCCGAGAAGTGCCTGGCCGACCGGGGGCTCGACCGGCCGTCCATGGGCGACGTGCTGTGGAACCTCGAGTTCGCGCTGCAGCTGCAGGAGAATCCCGACGACGCGGCCGACCTCGCGGCGGAGCGCGAGGGCCATGACGTGCCGAGATCCATGTTTGGTACAGATGAAGGGACCGCCGTGAGCGGAGGAGAGATCCAACATGATTCAAATCCGAATGCAGTGTTCTCGCAGCTAGTGAATCCTAGTGGAAGATGAACTCCATTATTTTTTTTCATTTTTTTTTAATTATTCAAGCTTATTTCTGTAGGATTATTTCTCATATTCTTCATGGAGGTTTAGGCAAATTGATAGTATTTTTTGCATGGACATATATATCAATTTTGTCCTAATTTTATTTCCCCACTTTTTTTTAATACGATGTGCATAATTATGGATGCTCTTACTTCAATTCATTGATTTTTCCATATTCTTCAAAGAAATATTATTGATTTAGCAGTAAATTAACTAAGAGAATTTAAAATATATATATTTAGTATGAATTTATGACAAATTGAGAATATCAATGAAGAAAGTAGACAATTTTATTTAATTTATGGATTCTTTCATTTATATATTAAATGATAATTACACAAATAATCCATGAATTTTGATCAAATGTCGATGTGGTCCATGAACTTTTAATTTATTTAACGTGGTCCCCGAACTTTATTACCACATGCAACGTGATCCCTGAACTTTTAATACGTTAAATGTGGTTCCTAAACTTTTCGTAAATGTTCAATCCAGTCTTTCGACTGTATGGAAAAATCCAACGTCATCCTCCCATTAGTTCAGGTCGATGAACAATATTGAATATTTTCATGTAGTTCGGAGACTAAATTGAATATGTACCGGAAGTTCATGGACCACAATATATTTAGCTAAAGTGTAAAGAGATCACATTTGGGTCATTTTTTGAAAATATTAACTGCACTATCTTTAATAATTAAAATGAATTTTTTTTAAATAAAGGTAGGAAATGGTCCGTGATAGGGTTTAAGCCTTAAGGACTAGCCTGCGTCGTCGTTTTGCAGGGTTTTGGAGCTGTTCACGACGAGCTCTGACGCTCGCTATGCTTCGAGCTCTCAGTTACCTTCTCCTCGACCCCGCGCCGGTTTCGCGTTGATCGCAGCGCGCGAGCTCGTGCTGCTCTGTATAGCGCGCTACGTCGGCGCGTCTGCAGCGGCAATGGAGGACGTCGACGATGGTTTCGGAGCTTTGTATGTCGACGACGTTGAGTTCGGAGCGAGCGAGACCGTCGGCGGCCTGCTCGACCGCTCTGTTCCGCGGGTTCGACCCGTAGGCGGAGAGCAATCGAGTGAAGATGGCGGCGAAGCTCGGAACGCTCGTGGAGGTATTGGGTCGGAGTTGGAAAGTGGTTACGAGTCGAGACGGTTTGAGGCGAGTGATGTTAGAGAAGATGGCGGCAGGCGCGAGGAGGAGGAGGAGCGGGGTAGCGGGAGTGACAGCGAGGATGATCTGAATATTGTTGTAAACGATGAGGATTGCCGGGCACTCGCGGGTTTGAGCATGCGGAGCGCGAGGAGCAGAGGCGGGTTCGGTGATGATGCGGGCGGTGATGTCAATGGTGTCGCCGCCGAGAATGGTTTAGGGATGAGCAAAAGGTGGAGTGATCGGTTAATGAATGGAGGGCGGGATTGCAACGGTCCACCCAGTGAAAGAGGAATTGGATTTAAGCAATTGAAGGTAGTCATTGCCCATTGGTTATAATTCATGAAGTAGTGTTTCACATATTTTGTAGGTTGTTAGTTGGTAGTTGTTGCTTTTGGGTGGTGTCTGTAAATTCTGCCTTAATTCACCAAGTTTTGTTGGTTCTTCAGCTATGAAATTATGGATAGTTTGTGAATCTTGTTTTGTTTTGGGATCTATCATAGTAGACAGTGCTTTCCACTTTTTACTGGTTCCAATGAATGGAGTTGAAGATGCTTTTTACTAAATTAAAGTACGAAAAGTCGCAGTTGTTTAGGAATTCATAGTTTGTTCATAAGGATTCATGATAAGAGGAGACAAAAGGCGAAAGGGAGAAGTAGTGAGAGTCTTTTGCCATCTTCCATTTTTTCTCTCTTCGATTTTGTTTTTTCTCTGTCCATGATAACCTGTTCAAGATCGCGGTCATATCTGCTTGTTTTTAGTCTCTAATCATGTTTCTAGCCGATGCCAGAACATTAACTGCTGCCACATGGATTTTAGCCTTCCGAATGAGCATCTCTGTCATTCTGCCCCTGCTCTTTTACAGCTACCATTGGTTAGATGAACTTTTCTTCTGCTCTCTTTGGCACTAATGAAATTTATTATATGGGCTCATGATGTAATCTTTACTCTTGGATGAATAAATTATAATGTTTACTTTAGTACTCCTTTGGTAGAATAGTTCTTGATCTGGTAAATTTTATGGCTAGCATGTTCAACAAAGTCTACTCTCTTGTTGGGTTGCCGTGTTGCAGTTTAGAGGACCTTGCGGGACTGGATATGCACGTGCAAACTGTTTAAGAGCTAACACATCTGGGGGCATAATGGCATTATCCATGTCAACAAGAGGTGATTTCGAGAAAAATGAGGACCGGGATCATAAGGAAGTTGGTTGCATTGTCCATGCTTGTGCTCCATCTAATTTAGCAGTACCTCAAAAAGGACGTAGTTTTTCTCTTCCCTGGTATAGGTCAGTAGATGCTGTTACAGTTTATTCCCAATCGCTGTGCTTTTCCCCCCCTTAAATGTGTTTTGATTGGGCAATGTTGATTACAAGTGGATGCATACTGTCAGTTGGCTTCATTCTGTATGTGTTTTGTCCCTGGAGGAGTCGGCAGAACAGCATTATCTTAACTAAAGATGCTTCTACTATATGTCTGAATTCTTTTCCTGACGATCATACTTGAGGAATTAGAGGACTAGTCAGAGTATGGTCAAGTGTGCTTCTATTATGCAGCTGCTTTCATATTTCCAGGAACATACTTGATGTAAATATTGATGCACTCAAGGAGAAGCCGTGGAGGTATCCTGGAGTGGATATAACTGATTATTTCAACTTCGGTCTTGATGAGGAAAGCTGGAAACAATACTGTAGCTCTCTGGTAATTATATGGCCTGCGGTTCAGTGCATTGTGCTGATGTCAGACCTTCTTAAAGCAGTACTTTTAACTCTCCTGTTTAAGTATGATTCATTCAGATAGAGTAATTAATCTGAAACTTACTGCAGGAGCAAGTAAGGCAGCAGAGCTCTTTGCAGTCTAGGATCCCCACTTACGAGTCTTCAAGCCTCAATCAGGTACTAAATCTGATTGGTTTCTATGATGCCTTCCTACAAATCTCACTGATGGAATATTCAACTCTTTTAGGACTAGTGTTACTGTATAAAAATGGTTTGCCTCGTGGCCCCTACTTTTTCATTTTCCCCAAAGTTACATCTAACAAAATCATTTCAAATTTTTCTGAAACTAACAGCAAAATTACCAAAATTTGTCATAGGAACTCATGTTATTGATTTGTTCTCATGTATCCTCATATTGACTTGCTACTTCTGTAGCCTTCAAACTTACTTGCTTTTTATTCAAAGAAAAATTGCCAAAATCAAAGCAAAGACCAAATATCAATTAAGAGTGACTGCAATTCCAAAATGACCATTTAGCCTCTAAATGAGTGTTTTTTTTTTCTAGTTATTGGGGGGGGGCACAATTTCTCTATGTAAAAATGTTTATGGTAATATTTGAGGTGCATTGTGATAATAAATTGGGAAAAATGAAACAGACATGAAAAAGCTACAAAGTGTAATTAAACCTTATGAAAATATTCTTATCAATTGTTATGGCTATAGGTTTATGAACAGGAGGAGTTAGTTCAAAAAGGTATAGCTGATGGAGTTCGTCAAGTTGCATCAGGAAGGACACATGCACCCTCGACTGCAGAATCTCTTGATAGAGAAAGCCTGTTGACAATGGTGTGTATAGTTTATTTGACCTGATCTCCATTTAATTACCATCAAGTAGATTTCATCTAAGTTTCAGTGTAAATGACTATGTTGTGTCATGTCTGCATTTCTCCAGCAAAAAGGCAAAGCAATTGAGGTTGCGGAAAGCCTTGGTGAAAGACGGCCATCTATGGTGCCAAGGTGCCCACGATCATATGATTCTGATGTAGTAATAGAGGTGTGTCTAGAGTTTCATTTAGTCTTGGTGGCAACTTTGACAAATCCTTATTAATTTATTTCTGAGGCAGATTGCTTTACCGGATTCCCCCGAGGATTATTCTACATCAAGCAAAAATGGGCTCAATTTCATGCAAAATACGTTCTCATTGGAAAGTGAAGAACCGCATGCAGATGATAGTAGAAATACTTTCCAGTCTCAGAGAGCTTACAACAATGATGCATTGATGTCTCATACTTTGGATGAAGATCTATCTGTAGATTGTCTGGAAGAAAATGCTGGAAGGTTCGACCAGTCAGTTAAAGGAACAAGGTATGAGAGACTACATCCGATTTTTCAAGAAGCTGCTTTTAGAGAGCATAATGGAACACGCTTTTGAATCCCCTATGCCTGTGAGCTTGATCTCACTGATAACCCTGGACTTTTGTGCCTTGTGTATCACTGATCAAAGAATAAATGAACGCGCCTCTCGGTGTTGTTTTGTACAGCTGTCAGTGAATATGTCCCTTTCAAATCATATAAGAAATGTAAAGCTGGGTAGAGCAATTTGGAACTTACTTCTGCTGGTGGATGCGAGGAACATAATACAGTCTATCACATTCTCTGAGTGTAAAAAAAAAAAAAAACGCAGAGCATTAATTTTGGATCAGCACTGTTAACAAATCATGAGCACTGCATATATGCTTCTATGTGTACTAATGTACAGTAAGGTTTAACTTCCTCAGATATTTTCAATTAGTTGAGCTAGTCAGTAATTTTTCCATTAATCTAAACAATGTCCAAGTTATGGAACCCTGGAAAATCTCTTTGATCTCATTAGGTGCTTTGAGCTGACAAATGCATCTAGTCTTGTTGATGTATCGACTTCTGGAGACGGGAAGATCTCTGATGGTGATGGCTGTGACAGTCAAAGGGTGCATATCCAAGATGCAGAAGGAAAAGCTGTAGCTGAAGAAACTATGAAAAAAGCTACTCAAGGAGTCTGTGGCACCTCATTTATGGCAGATCCATGCATATTTCAAACTGAACCATCTCTAGGGGACCGGATTCAGCTTAGTTTGTCTTCACTATGCTTTGAAAGTGAATCTGAAGCTTCTGAAGATAGCATTTCCGTTGATCTTGGAAAAAAAGATGATGTTTATCATAGAAGCCTGTCCTTTGGCTCATGCAATGACTTTCAGG